CTTCTATTGTTAATTTCTCAGATGCAGTATCATTAAAACTCTCTGACAAAAGTATTCAAAAAAAGGTTTTGATGGCATCTGAAGTACGTGAAATGCTTTCCACTATTAAAAATTTAACTTATGATTTTGATGAAACATCTGGAGAAATTTCTGACTTACATGAAAATTTATCAAACATTCTTAATGCCCTTTATCATGCAAGAAAAAAAAAAAAAGGTCTACCTGTTCGAACAGAAAATATGGATGATTATGTACACAATAAGAAAATGAAATTAATTGAAATACCTGATATTAAAAAAAAAAAAAGTTCAAATCGGGTTGGAAAAAAAAAAGATATGTCACTCTCATCATGTAATATTAAGATTAATAGTGTTGCTCCAGAAGTATCGATACAAGAATGTATTATTACTGATGATCAAATAACAGGTGAAACATCTTTTAAAACAAGTTCTATGATTATTGAAAATATTTTGTCTGATGATGATAACAAAAGCAGTATTTTAAATATTTCTTTACTTAAAACTGAGGATTTAGAAGACATTTCAAATAACAGAATGTTATCAGATAGTGTTATCCATTACTTTCAAAATTTAATTATAAAAAATCATCCATCTGCAAATGGGTTGCAAGATTCAATATTAGGACAAAAACTTTTTTTCAAGCCCCAAGGTTCTCTGCCGTTCGTTCAAGTCATTTATAACGGACATCATCACTGGCTTGCTATTAGCACATATGGCTACAAGTTTGGAGAAGCATATGTACTTGATAGTAGTTTTCATGGATATTTGTCATCAGATACACAGATACAAATATGTTCTCTTTTAAATTAAAACAAATTCGAAATTAAAGTAAATGTTTTACCAGTTCAGCAGCAAGAAGGAAATGTAGATTGTGGTTTGTTTTCACTAGCTTTTATAGAGTTTATTTTATTGAACAAAAAAAATCCAGTTGATGATATTTGGTTCAACCAAAGGTTATTTAGAAGTAATGTTCTTGCATGCATAAAAGATAACATAATGAGATCCTTTCCACTGTCATATTCTGGAAGCTATAGATGCAATCCAAAAGAATTCAAATTAAAGATATGCTGTTCTTGCAGGATGATTTGGACACCTTTATATGGGTCTTCATATGAAAAGTTAGTAATTTTTTTATTTAGCTGATGCTATTGGCTAATTAATCAACTAATGATTTAACCCATTAATTAGCCGATGGTTACTGATGGCATAGGCTACAAGGCCAAATCAATGTTGATATACAATTTTACCTTATACGTATTTTACATCTCTATATTACCAGTTTATGTATAAATTAAACCCTATTATAGCCACAATTATACCTTTGCCATCGGTACATAACTAATTTTATTTAATTACTTGTTTTATAACTTACATAATTTTGTTTACACAACATTATCATAGGCGTCATTGTTTTAGCATCCTTGCTTCATTTTCAAGAATTTAATATTGTTTTTGGAAAAAAAATTACAATAATCAGAAGTGCCATAACAACTCAACAGTTTCTTTAAGCCCCCTACACCTTATTATATTTTGTAAATGCTAAATTTAAAGTTCTTTTACATTCAAACCTATTTAGTAAAAGTACTTAAAAAATCAAAAAAAATTGTATTATAATTGCTTAAACAATAGCACCTCAATGTAAAAACTGGAATATGTAAAAATTGTAATAAATTTTTTATTTTAAGGCAAACAGTTCAATGCTGCTCTTGTAAAATTTGGTTTCAATGTGAATGCAAAAAAATCAATGCAATAAACAAAGATCTTTGGAAATGTCAAGAGTGTTAAAAAAGATAACAAAATAACTAAAGACTTGGTAAATTTTATTACTTTTAAATGCTGCAATAGGCTTTATTAATATGTAAATGATTAATACAAAAGAGTAGGGTACAATGATACAAAAAAAAAATACAAGTTATAAAATTCTCTAAATAGATGCTGCACATTGAGATGATATATTGACAACTTAATCCGCACACAAGGTAATTCTGCTTTTTTGTAAAATCAAGACTATTGCGGAAAACAGTTTTTTCTTTACTTCTAAGGCATTATTGTACAAATAAGTCATTTTGCTTTTAGTAATGATTTTACATAAATATGAAAAAATAAAATCCATATAAATGTATATATGGGCTTATGAAATAATTTTATGTTATCTAAAGTTATCTCATTCGTGGATTAAGCAGTCCATATGGGATTAAGTGAGACAATATCCTTTTGTAATATAAAAAGTTAATTGTCACACTTGATACCGGTTTTGTAATCCCTTTTATCCACCCTTCGCAAGCATTATAATACCATTTATGACAGGTTCGACTATTATTTTCTACTTTTGTCATCACAAGGTAAAGTATCAAAAGTGTAATATTTATATTGGTTTTAGTTGCTACTAGTACTTGTTTTTAATACAAATATTTTTTTTCTTTGAGTTTCGACTTTCAGTTGTATGACTTTTCTATTTGTACCATCGTTGCATGATTTTCTTTTTTCCTGGTTTTGGTTATCGCCTAAACCGTTCAGGGCTTAACAATGTTTGCAGGGCAGTTGTTTCACTTCCAGCCGATATCACCTTAAAATCCTAAAACGTTACAGTTTGTGTTAGTGTTGCATCCAACGCCACGTTTAAAATGTGTGTTCCATTTTCATTGGGAGCTGGATGATATGACACAACGTTTGATATGAATCAAGTCATTATCGGAATTTATTTATTAAATTTTGATAATTATTTTTTAATATTTATCAAGATTTATCAACCTTTTTATATGACTCCGTACTCCATATCTCAGAGTACCACACTCTTTCATAAAAATGTATATGTATTAAAGTTGGATTATTATATTTTGTAAAATATAAAATTCATTTTATATTTATATCATTTTATTATTCTTAATTGTGTTAATTATTACAACCTAAAGAATATTTACGAACACTCAGATTTAATGTTTTTACGAACACTCAGATTAATTTAATACATAATTTTTTTTTTTTTATAAACATTGAATTATAAAAAGTATGCTGCATCAAATGCTTTTTATGAAAATAAATTTATAATAATTATTAGCAAAGGACAGAAATTTTTCCGACTTTGACAATATAAACAATGTAATATGGTTATCAATGCGACACTTCAAAAAACGGTTATTTTCATAGCCACATATATTTAAAGACATTATTTATCTGAACATTTATTTAATGGTGTGAATGCTAAGAGATCGTAGCATTGTATCTAAAGCAAGTTAAGTTTTTGTTGACAATTTTTCATTATGATATATATATATATATATATATATATATATATATATATATATATATATATATATATATATATATATATATATATATATTATATATATAGATATATATATATATATATATATATATATATATATATATATATATATACATATATATATATATATATATATATATATATATATATATATATATATATATATATATATATATATATATGTATATATATTATAACCGTACCTTTATATGATACTTACATGACTTACATGTATACTAAATATATATTTTCTTTAGTTGCTTGCCAATCGTCGCATACAGCAAATTCAATGACCCGAGTTTAAAGGAAATAAAAAACATGTTGTATAACTGTTGTAAGGTAGGATTGTCCAATATTTTGAAAATGGTTGCATGTAATGAGTGCAATTGTGTATATATGTAATTATTTTATTTGAATATTTTAAAAATATATTTAAAATGAAATAATTGTATTTTTTATTTCTTATTTCAACTGAAAAACCTACCAAAAAAAAAAACTTTATTTAGAAGATTATTGTAGAATGTAAAATTAAACAGTAGTTTAAAAAATTATAAATCTTTAACAAAATAGTTAATAAATCGCAGAGAGCTAGTCTAATTTTTTATAAAACGATCAAATAGTCACATAAAATAACATGAATAAATTGTCGGTATGATCCAAAGTGAAACTAAAGTTTTCAGGAAATTATTAGTGCTGTACCTTATAAAATAACTTTCTTTTATTTGACGATAAAACGTTATCCCTTTTTATTGTTTTTTATTATTTTTTTATGAATTTAAAATGTAGTTTTCTAACCGGTCGGTATGATACTAAGTGGAAGAAGAAAAAAAAGATCAACAGGAATTTATTGGTACTGTACCTTAAGAAATCAATTTCTTGAATTTGATAATAAAACGATAACTTTCCAATTGGCTATTTTTTGTTCTGGATATAGTGTACTTCTCTAACCGTTATGCGCAAAACAAATCGGAAATACAGTAATTCCATGCTCGCGTTTATGCATGTTTTAATCAAGAAAACAAAAGTTTACGGTATTTAGATTGCAAAAATAAAAAAATTTTAACTTTGTTATAATATTGCAATAACGTAACCGTATTATAAAAGTTAAAGTGTTCATAATTTTTATATTGTAACATATATCTCAAAATACGCGCGTTGCAGCGTGGATCGATTTGTCATGCCGTGACAATCTTTTTTTTTTTTTTTTTTTTTGTAATAACTGATAAAATACTGATAAAAACTGATAAAATACAAAGTATAAAATAAAATTTTACCCTAAAGATCATAACGACGGCTAAATCTGTAGACGAGATAACTCCCGTTGCACCAAACTGTGCAGGAGAAACAAACATATTTCATATATACACTTATATGAATTTTTATTGTTAATTTTCATATTTATATATTTAAAATTGTTACTGAAAATAAAATGACGCATTTGTACAATGTCTTATGTATAAAAAAAAAAAAATGTTGCCGAAAAGAGTCGATTTAACAAAAAAGATATCTTGTTTGCGGATGAGGCCGTCGATATATTTCTTTACCAAATTAATATAAATTTTAAAAATTTTTTATACTCATGGATATTATTAAACTACATTTCCTCGATATAGCAAAACATAGAGGCATGTGGAATTGCTCCATAGCTCATGAAGGTAAAGTGAAAGTCTTTAGCTTTCTCATACGGCAGTGCTTTATTGACAACATGACGTCTTTTGAACGTAATTTGATTGAAAATCATCGCAAATCATAGCAAAATCATCCCAAAGTACATTATGAGTCTTGGTAAGAATCTCTAAAGCATAACTTTTTTAATCTATTAGAGTGTAAAAAAAATTTAAATAAACTGACTTAAAATATTTTAAAATATATTATTTTGAACATTTTTATATCAAAAAACTAGCACACCAGTTGCTCCAAAATTTTTATTCGCCTTAAACACCACAAATCGTGTTGTTGTTGCTAACTCATATTTTTTAATATATTGAAGTGCTTCTTCGTGGGATTTACAATGATAAATGAATTGCTTTTTTCCATCTACATAAAATTAATAAACAACTATAAGAACTTTTACGTTTTAACATATATATATATATATACATATATATATATATATATATATATATATATATACATATATATATATATATATATATATATATATATATATATATATATATATATATATATATATATATATATATATATATATATATATATATATATATATATATATATATATATATATATATATATGTATATATATATATATATATATATATATATATATATATATATATATAACATTTTTATCTAATGTTTAAATATTAGACAAACCTTTATTAAGGTAAATTGCAGAATTTGTATCTTGAGTGCCTGTATCTTCTTCAATGTTTTCTAATTTAAAATAAAAAACTGGTCAATAAGTAAAAAAAATTTTTTCTACAAACTAGATCTGTAAACTGAATATAGTAGATTATCTACTATATTCAGTTTAGAGATCTAGTTTCTACTAGATCTTTTGTATTTTTTAAATATATTTTATCTTTTATTTATTTATTTAATTCATATTAAACATATTTTACTATACTATACTCATCTATATTATATCTTTATCATATTTATGTATGTATGTATATATATATATATATATATATATATATATATATATATATATATATATATATATATATATATATATATATATATATATATATATATATATATATATATATATATATATATATATATATATTCATATTTTATTTAATGAAAAACATAAATATATTACATGTAATATATATATATATTAGGAGGATTACACATGATACGTTTATGTACAAAAACGTTATCTTTGTTGTTTAAATAGCCATAAACATGTTTTGACAACAATAGAATTAGGTAAACCCTAATTAATAGAATTAATAGAATTAGGTAAACCCTAATAAAAATAGTATAATATTTCATCAACAAAAAAATTTTTATTTAATGGTGCTTTTTTGTTGATGAAATATTATACTATTTTTATTAGGGTTTACCTAATCCTATTAAATATTGTTGTCAAAACATGTTTATGGCTATTTAAACAACAAAGATAACGTTTTTGTACATAAACGTATTACGTGAATCCTAATTAAACATGACATATGTCATTTTTAATAAGGATTAAAATGCTGATTAAAAACCTACATAAAACGATTTAATAAGATAAAATGCTGATTAAAAACCTGTTATACTTTCACTTTCATCTGAAATAGTATCTTCAGAACTACTCATACTTCCATTGTTTTCATAACTACTTAATTCATCCATGCTTCTAATTTTTTTAATTAAGAAACCTTATATTAATCTTTAAAATCTTAACTACTTAATGTTTTTCGCGGTTACCACGTGGTTATTAGAATAAATAAAATTAGAAACGGTAACCGAAAAATACGGCCTAATTCTGAGGGATGTTAAAGTCTGCTAACCATTGAAAAGACGTCATCTGTTTGCTTATGAAGGAAGTGTTACGTAAAGAGATTTTTTTTCTTAAGTCGTCTAAAGCAAAGGTCAAAGCTTTTTTTTTTTTTTTTTTGTCCGAGGCATGAAGAGTTTTCCGTGCTACTTAAAAAAATAAAGAAAATTTTTTTATCTTCGACCGCAAGATCAAAAACGTATTTAATTTTACTCTGAATACGACATATTTCTTGTCCGTGGCTATAATATATTTTGGAACGAGTTGTAGTCTTATTTATTTTTTGAATTTTTCAGTACATTTGTTTATTTTGAATGCAATACTCATATAACACAGAAACCCGATAGTATTCGATGAGGTTTTCGTGAAATTAACCGCGTATTTAAAAAATTCTAGAATACGCATTGGTTACGAATGTTTGTTAGAATGTTGTTGTTGTATCGAGAAGTGCATGCCTAATACATATAAAGACAACCACAGAAAATAATCATCTCGCATTTGAATCTTTTGCAAACGCTAAAAAATTCAAATGCGAGATGAGAATTAATTTTTTTACAGACCATAAATATTAAATAATACACTATCATCACGAAATTGAAATAATAAAAAAGAGGAGTGAAAGAAGAGATATTATGATATTTTTAACTTTTTTGAGGATAGTAGAGGATTTTATAGGAGCTGTTAGCTAAAGCTAGAGGCCACCCTGTTAACGTAAAATGTAAGCTTTAACGTAAAACACAAATTTGCACAGAACTCAGTATTACAAAAAGTTAAATTGAGGTTAAATGTTCAATTTAATATGAAACTAATTATATAATTATATATTATTACGAAAATTTAATAATAAAACTATATAATGATATGAAATATTAATATTAATAAAATATAAAATTATATATTAACATGAAAAAATACTTAAATAATAACATTATTCCATAAACTTACTCAATAGAAAAGCAGTGTGTCCGTTAAACTGTTAAATTGGCTGCCTATTTTTTTTCTCTCTAGTTTTTTGGATAGTAAAAAAAAAATGCAGTAAGCAGTGAACAATCATCAGATGATTTGTAAATAAAGTGCAGGGTTCTTTTGAGGGTCATTGGTTGCAAACAGAAAATTTTTAATAAAAAAAACAGGACTATGGAAATCTAAAAAACAAGATTTTTTTTGGAAAAAATAGCAATTTTATGATAAAATTAAAACAAAAAATTTTAAAAACTATAAATGAAAAAAAAAAAAAAACATTTAATAAACAATAAAAAGTTTATATATACCATGTATATAAAACAAGTGTAACAAAAAAATAAATAAATAATAAGCTAATATAATGCTTTGTGATTGAATGATAGTATCAAATTTCAAAAACTCATGTAAACAAAGAATGAAATTACAAATTTTTTAAAAATTTTAAACATTCTTTCATTTTAACTCTATTTCATTTCATATTAGCTCTAGCTTAAATTAGATTCATTTCATTTCAACTCTAGCTTCTTTATCATTCTAATTTTTAACCCTAACTATGCACTTAGTTTTCTTTCAAGTTAATGTCCTGAATTCACACAAATTTGTTATAATGTGAACTACAGATATCTAGAACTCAAACTTCTAGTGACTTAAATTACTTTCAAGTTTTCATCTATGATATATATATATATATATATATATATATATATATATATATATATATATATATATATATATATATATATATAAATATATACATAAATATATATATATATATATACATATACATATACATATACATATACATATACATATATATATATATATATATATATATATATATATATATATAATATATATATATATATATATATATATATATATATATATATACATATATATGTATATATATATATATATATATAAATATATATATATATATATATATATATATATATATATATATATATATATATATATATAATATATATATATATATATATATATATATATATATATATATATATATACATATATATATATATATATATATTTCAACTTTTTATCTATGATAATTTCATCTATGATAATACTTTCATCTACGGTAAGACAAATACTTTAATAACTTAACTCAAGTTGTTTTAACATAAAAATATACACTTTAGTGCTTTTTTTATACAAATAATCCTTTTACTTATTGCAATATCAGCTTTATCATTGCACTTTTTTTGATTCGGTAGAATATGACTATAATGATAAAAAATTCAGGTTTCTTTTTTTTTTCAAGATTATTTTTCAACTTTTGATTTGCATTTTAGTTAAGCTGCACTGAGAAGTGAACCCTTAAAGATGCATAAAAAGTTTAAAAAAAGAATGAGATAAAAGTACAAAAGAATGTCCAGTGAAAAACAAAGAGCCTCTATAGTATCTATGGTATCTTTTTGTTAGAGTATCCCTTTGTGTTATCCCAAAAAGACCATTTTCAGGGTATCCCATCAGGGTAATTGCCACAGACTTTTGCAATGACACAAAGTGACATTATTTTGAAACAAAGAACCCCACTAAGTGTCTTCTGGTCTCACTTAGAGGATACTTAGTGAGAACAAATTGCATACAATTGTAAGTGATTTTTTGATATAAGTGACAGTAAGTGCAATGATTTGTTGCAGTAAAACGAGGGTCGGTGAAAGTTGTGAATTGTTTTCAGTTTTTATAGCTTTGCATGTGATGTGAATAGTGAATTAGGAGTATGTGTGTAGTAAACGACCGGGGTTGATGTTGACCGGGGCCGCGTTTGATTAAATAAAGCTGGAGCTGGGTTTGTGACCCGTAGTTGCATAAACATTTATAAATCCTAAAGTATTTTTTTTTATTCAAACTTCATGTTATATTTTGTATACATATATGCATACAAAAACATCATTATAATCATAATTATCATCACAATCATTATTTACATCATCATCATCATCATCATCATCATCATCATCATCATCATCATCATCATCATCATCATCATCATCATCATCATTATCATCATCATCATCATTTTCATCGTCATTACTTCTAATTAAATGCTCCCCATTAAATGCTCTTCCGCGATGCTCTGTGAAAAGACCGTAAGGACTTCTTGGGGCACCTTAATCAACTTAAAAAAAAAAAAAAAAAATTACACCAATATCAACAATAACTTTTATATATACTTCATATTTAATAAACTAAAATCATTTAGAAATTTGTAAGCTAACAGGTAAATGTCTGTAGTATAAATGTGTGTTATGTAATTTGCACAGTTGACAGGATTCACTGTGCACATGTCATGTGACTATTATTATGAAATGTATCTGAAGTAGAGTAGAATTATTTGTTTTATAAAACTATTAACAGGTAGCTTTTAATTATTTAAACAAAGTGTGTGTGCAGTATAGCCTATTTTGTGTTTAATTATACTTATAGTGACTTGTGTCATTAGTATGAGTTTTTAGTTCTGAAATGTTATTAGACAGTAATTAAAACAGCTGGTAATTAAAATTAAGTTATGCAATATCTTGCAATAATATGAAATTTGTGTTTAAAAAACTCTTTATAATCAATTCCATAATGCGTTAACAATAACTTATATTTAGAAATTGAACAGTATTATTTATCTTTTATTAAGAGATGTGTATAGGTGTATGTTACAGAACTGAAGTAGAATTATTCGTTTAAGTAGTTTTAAGATGGTAAGTATGAAAATGGGGTTTAAGTAATTTATATACAATAATAAAAGTTAAAAAACATTGATGGTGACAGTGAAGTAAGTTGTTTTATGATCATGGTTGGCTAAACTGTTAGTGTTTGGTCTGATTGATAAATTGAAGTGATAATATTTGGAGTAGAATGATTCATTATATGAATAGTTTGTAAGTGACTTGTGTTGTAGGCATGATAAATATACATAGTAAAAAGAAGCAATGATTATTAAAAGAATATTAGATGTAGCACCCACAGTGCCTCTAAAATGGACAATAGTTATATATACTGGTCAAAAGGTGTCTGGACAAAACAATTAGTATTTATAAGAGTTTATTGTTAGGCATAATGGCAAAAATGTTAACTAAAAATAATTTTTTTTTAATTATTAGTATTTCTTATCATAAATACAAGATAATAGCAATAACATGATATTAACAAAACAGCAACGATATGGTCTAAACAAATAATGGATAATTTTACTTAAATTAACATTTTTTTTATTACCAATATTGTTGGCAACGAAGAAAAGAAGTTAATTTAAGACTTTTTATTGATTTAAATACAGCATTCAAAATTCAAAACAGTTTCTACAATTAATTGCTAAGCTTACCTTTTAATAATAATTAAATGAACCACTTTCAAGTAATTTTATTTCTAAACTATAAACCTATATATCTTTCTTTTTTTTATTAGTGCGATCTATTTATCTTCCTTTCCTTTATTTATGTGAACAAAATGCGCCTGATTTATTTTTGATTTAAATTAGCCGCAAAATTTAAAATCAAGAACGGTAAATAAGGTAAACGATTTTATCGACCTACTTTTGAGGGATGTTAACGTCTGCTAACCGTTCAAAAGACGTTTAGATTTTAATAAGACGGACGGACGCGATTTGATCGTCCTAAGGACGTCTTTTTTACGTCCCGTGCCCACTGGGGTTATCCTCTAAAAACTTTGTTGGATACTTATGAGATATTTCGCTAAAGTAAGATTGAAATATAAACGGAGATATTCCATGTTTCATTTAAACATTAAAAGTAATGTTTAAATGTTCAGTTTATAAATGTTTAAGGCTTTCCCAGTGGGCACAGGACGTAAAAAACAGGTCCTTAGGACTTTCAAATCGCGTCCGTCCGTCCCATTAAAAATCTAAACGTCTTTTGAGCGTCTTTTTCGCGTCAAA